ACGCTGTCAAAGGCTTTACTAAAGCCTTTTTCTGTGCCTCTGTCTTAGTAGTCAAAGCACCTCCCTTCAAAATTGCTTGGTAAACATCCACAAGGCAGGAACAGACTTTTTTTCATTGTATTTAGTAACAAATGTTTAGTTTGGGGAACCAATTATGTTCCTAAATCTAGACCGGTGTGTTAATGTAGGCTTTTTGGAGAAGGTTCTTTTAGCGGTTTCTCATAGAAATTACCCTCAAGATTTTAAAAATATACTTAGTAAGTGAGCATATTGGAAGTAAGGCTTTCAGATGCCTTTTGGCTGCTTATGGTTTCTGTGATGTGACTCTCAAAAAAAAGTCTTAGAATTTATTTGGAGTTACTGTCTACCTTCTCTGTGTTTGCTGAAAGATGGTTGTTAGAACTGGTAGAACCGCATGTCACAGTAAAATGTCTGCGGTGCATAAAGTATGTTGTAAACTTAATGTGTGCCTGAAAAAGTCAAAGTTAAGGGCAAGAGAAACTCGTGTACTGCTGAAGTGCTTCTTGTAACAGTCCTCAAGAAGTGATCGCTTTGTGCGAATGTGTGATTACAGGGTAATGTCAGTGCATTTTTTCATTGTGAGCTCTCAGTTTGGAGCGAAGCAGAATAGAAGAGATTGTAAATAATTTGTTAATGCTGGTGGCTAGGCTTAGCTCAAGACATTGTACAACAACTTGATCTTTCAGTTCTTTTTTTTCCCCCCCTTTTTCATGCTGTGCATGTCATCAGATATTGAAACCTAACAGACAAATGGTAAGAGTTCAGAAGAGGAAGAGATACAAAATATTGTATCTGTTACTTCACAGGATTAAAGGATGCAGCATCCACAGTGTAAATGTGTTCAAAAATAAAATGGTGGCAAGAACCTGTTCACGTTTTGCATTCTAACTCTGTGACCATTGAGAGCAGTGTTAGCAAAGACACTTTCTTTCACAGGTCACTCGAGCAGTAGTCTAATTTTACTTCAGGATCACTATTGGCAGCGGTGAACAGCAAGCATGTTGCTTGTTAAACATTACTATCGGTGTGAAAAGTAAATAGAAGGCTTCAGAAGACGTGTTACAGCAAAGATCTTTAAAATTATCAGTAAATCTAGACTCATGGCTGCCTCTGTTTTGTACCTTGTGTAAAGATGAGAAAAGCAGTTGTGAGATCTGTCATCAGGCTGTTGGGATTTTTTTTTTGTCAGAGCTCTAACAAGGACTACAACTGTGCAAATCCCAGTTTTGTGCCTCTGTGCTGTACTAACAAATTCTAGGATGACTTTTGATTGCCTGTCTGCATGTGGTACTTTTCTCCTTGCTTGCTTAGTTTGCTACTGGTAAAGACCAAGTTGAGGGTTTGGTCATCGTTCAGTATGTCAGCAGCAAAAATAGCTGTGAAACAGCAACATCTTCAGTTTCAGCACCCAGACTGCTTCCTAGAGCAGAGCAGTTGGACCTGTTGTAGAATGACAGTGTGTGTCTGAGTAGCATGTGTGTAGCTAGATTACAAACTCAGCATTCCCGCTTGGTTCTCAGAGCTGAGATTTTATTGTTGTAGAACTTGTTCAGAGTTTTGATAGTTTAGTTTACATGGGCAAGAGAATACAAAAGTAACAGATTCAGTGTTTTAGAATTGAAGCTTGATTTTTGTGTTTATTAGCCTTGAAACAAAGTGTCTTTTCCTTAAAATTTGCTTTGAAAAATACAATGGCACCATTATTTTTGAATTGTAAGATTGCACTTTGGGTAAAAAGTGAACTTTTGGGTGATGCTGCATGTTGAAAATGATCTGGAAGTGTTTAAACTCAAAGTGTTTTGCACTTACATTAACGTGAATACCTTCCACCCAATACTTGCTTTCTATTGGATGGTTATACTTAATTGATCAAATTGATATCCTCATTTTCCTATAATTTGATGTTACTATTTTGGACTTTCTTCATATTTCATGTCACCTCTGTGGTGATTTGTTTTGAACCAGGGAGAAAGATGACTTGTGGGTTGTTAATTTTGCTCTTGTCATAAGCTGTATTTTTTCCTAGTAGTTTGTCTTGTATCCTTCTTGCTTTTTTACGATGATTAGTTGTCACAAGCTAATGTCCACAGACTTGTTTCATTAGCGTAGCTGACTTGAGAAGAATCTAAACTTACCGTGAATGCTCAACTGATTTTTTTTTTTTTTTCTTCCATCATTTTTGCCTTACCGTTTTCTTAGATGTTTGGAAACTGGACATTTGGTACTTTGGTCTTCACTGTTATGGTTATAACTGTTACGATGAAGGTATGATATTATACTAATTACTGTCTGTGTTTGGGTATATAGGCAAATACGTAATAGAGCAATAATTTAAAATAGATTCAAAAGTTATACAGAAGTAATTGATTCTTGAGGATTCCAAATAAGTCATTTTTATGTTTGGTTTCAATGGTGGTTAATATTTTTCTTTGTAGTTTTTGCATGTTACAACAGTATTTAGTGTTTGAGATAGAAGTATTTATGATTTTCTGTGAAGTGGGGGGAAAAGGAAGTTCATTGAAGTTATCTTTGTTTTAGATGGCACTAGAAACTCACTTCTGGACATGGATAAACCATTTTGTTACTTGGGGATCCATCGTATTTTATTTCATATTCTCCTTGTTTTATGGGGGAATTATCTGGTGAGTGATTTTTTTTTTTTTTTTAATTCCCCTCCCCCTCCCCCCCCGCCTTCTATAGCACATATGACAGGTGAAGATATGAAAAAAACACTGAAGTATTATGTTCTACCATGTTGCTCTGAATTTTGTGACAGGTGTTGGAAAAAGATTTTAAACCTAGGGCAGCCACTCACTTTTGGTGTTTCTTTTAGAAATTTGAGCAATGCTGCTAAGGTCCCCTGTGCTCAAGGACAGAAATTACTTTCCTCTGACAGCCTGTGACTATAAAGGCATTTTTGTTTTTAAAAAGTAGATAGGTTCCCAAAGGTAGTTGTAGTAGGCAAATGTTTGCAACAAAAATGAGTAATCTAGGGTTTGAATCAGTAAAGTGATGTAGTTTTGCTTGTATTTTGGGGTCTTAGTGGGATAGGATGGTGATTGATTTCCTGCAACACAACTTAAAACGGAACCAGAATGTTTCCCTCTAGAGCTTGGAACCCTCCTTCCCCAGAATTTGCAGGTCAGATCTAACAGATTGCTAGACCTCATGGACACGATGCAGTTGTAACTGCATCCTGAGAGACTTGCTGCTTGGTGTAACCTAAGATACACTTGAGCCTGCCTGTGCTGTTACTTTTTTCTTTCTAGAAGTCCCTTTTAGTAATTGTTACTTCTTTTAATTTTTTAGGCCGTTTTTACATACCCAGGACATGTACTTTGTATTTGTTCAGCTGTTGTCAAGTGGTTCTGCTTGGTTTGCCATAATCCTCATAGTAGTTGCTTGTTTATTTCTTGATGTTGTGAAGAAAGTGCTGTACAGACATCTACAACCAACAAGTACTGAAAAAGCTCAGGTAATGTTATGCTTTTGTATCCAACTTGATCAATAGTTAAAAACATGTCTGTTAAAATCTGTCTTGTAAACTAATTACTTTCCTGTGATATTTAATTATTCTTTTACATTGCTGTCAAAGTTTAATGCATGTGTTCTCATTTCAAAAGATAATGGTTAATTTAAAATTACAAAAATGAGGACACCACTTTACAAGGGAGATAACATTTATGTTTAAGTAATTTATTTCAACAATAGAATTACTTATAGAGGGGTCACTCAGTCTTTTGCATCTCAGCTTGCAACTGTATGAGGGGATCATATTATGCGTTTTTGTACTGCTTTAAAGATGGTAACTTACTCTCATTTTTGTCTAGGTATTAGAAGCTCTCTCTTCAACTGTAATTGGCACTGAATAGTTCTTAAACTGTAATGAAAACAATTTTAAAAATTACTTTAGTAGGACTTGTTTTAATTAGTATTTCTTAAATCTTGTTTATATCATATGCCATGTATTTGATTGTTGATTGTGTAATAAAAGATAATTACCTACGTGGCAGTTTCATAAATTCATAGAAGAGGTCTAAAGACATGCTATAATAATACAATCTCCCTTTTGCCTAACACAGGCTACAAAACCTCCTTGAAAGCATTCTGTTGAAATTAGGCTTTTAAGTAAATCTCTCATTTGTGTTTGAGTGTTTTCTCCTTTTTAGTGACAGTTATGCAGAACTCATCCTGACCCATTGTTCTAATAATTGCTGTCTCTGGCTTGTTTTCAGCATTTTATCTTTTTATATTTTTTCTGCTATACTGAAAAGCCTTCTATTAGCAATTTTTTGTTTAATTCACAGTTAGGTTAGTGATCAAATTGGTTTGTCTCACTGAAAAGTAGATTGGACTTGCATCTTTTGTCAAAAAGGATATTTTACAGACTTTTAATCATTCTTGTGTTTCTCCTGTAATCTTCACTATTATTCAACCTCATCTTGAATTTTGGATTTCACCAGTAGACACAATATTCCAGCACAGCATACGTCGGAGCCAAGTGTGGAAATAATTAATCCCCCAGCTGTATTCAGTTTACAAACCTATTTTGCATCTCTTTCTCATCTGGAAGTGATTTTGTTGGCTTCTTCCAGGTCATTGATGAGAGGTCAAATAGCATAGGTCCAAAAAATATGTGAAAGTAAATGAAGAATCCAGTTGACAAAGATATCCCATATGCAGTTATGTTCTGAAACCTTTTATCAGTTTTTAATCCGTTTGTGTGCCATATTGATTTTGTGGTGTCCTAGGTGCTTAATCCAAGTTACACTATGTGCCATACAGATCTCTTAACTGCACTACATCAGTACTGTTACCTTTAGCAGCTAACCTTGTAATTACTTGGTCTAAGTGCATGCTGATTTACTTAAATTATACTACCCTTCTAATTTGTGTGTTAAAAAAATCCATGTGAGACATTCTCTTAATTTGCCTAGGATCAATGTCATGCTGACAAACCTATTGCTAGCCAAAATATCCCATTAGTCCCTTTTCAAAACTGGAATATTAGCTGCTTTTTCCAGTCTTGGAATTTAGTAGCTAAAAGCCAGGGTGAATAACCACTAGCTTTCAGAAGACTGTTCAGCTGGACCTGGTAAAGACTCTTGATTGCACTTTTTGGATTAAAGAGTCTCGATATAGGAGAAATTCTATAGGTAATGATAGTTATTTATCTTTTTCCTTCAAAAACTAGTGGCAATATTTATTGAACGCTTCCCTTTCCTTCCTGTACATCAGCAGTTTCTATTTGGCAGTGTATTGATATGGTGGTTGAGGTTTCTCATGTTTCTAAAGTGCTTGAATTAAAAACCAAAAAGCCCGCATCTTTTTTCTCTAGCCTTATCCATATTCTTGTTGCATTCTTTTGCTTTCTGAATCAATTCAAAGAATTTCCGGGTTCAGTTTGCTTACATTGCAGTTGTGTCATCAAAGACACAGTTGGACTTCTTATTTTTAAGAAAGAATCTTGATAAATGTCCAACTCATTTCCTGTGGCTACCGCTTGATTTATAGCCATGAGGACTTTGCGTTGTGCATCTCTACTAGTCATCTTTTTTTTTCCCCCTCTTAATTCACATTCTACTTTGCCATTTGACAGTGTCAGCATTAGGGTCTATGTTTACCACAGTACTTTTTCTGAAAACACTTCATTCCTGATACTCCAAAGTTGAGGTATCTAAAATCTGATTTGACCAGAAACGCTTCAGCAGCCATTTAGTAGTTTCTCTGTGTGTGTCTGACAGGAAAATCATAGTTAAAAATGTATTTGTGAAAAGAAGGCACCTGTTTGTTGGTTTTGTTGAGGTATATGAGATTTTCCCACTCTTACTTTTAAAGGCACAATCAGCCCGACTGAATTTCATCAGCTATTCTTGTAGTGGGGGAGTAGCAGACACAAGTGAAGATGAACAGATGACCAGCTTAGCACATTTGTTGCCAAAAAGGGACAGAATGCTTCTTTTGTGATTGTACCTCATTAGATTTGTTTAAAATTTCTAGTAAATATTTTTCTTTCAGTTTCAAACCAGAGGAGAGGACTCTGACTTTCTGATAGAATGAATTGGGAGAATGTCTTTGTCCTAAAAGCTAAGGAATTATTTGTGGAAGTCATTCAAAGAGTGAATATGGAACTTTGTCTATTGCCCTTTTAAATGCATTTTTCAGAGTGTAGGTGCACCCTCTGTATAACTGAATATTTTTAAATTTTAATTTTTAATTGTAGGATGAAGTATATTTGCATATTGAGGGAAAGAAAAAGCTTAGTTTACAGTTACTAAGTTTTATCAGGGCAAGACAAATTTGGCATGATCTAGTCACTATTTTTTTTAATCACAGTTATTTGTTTCTGTCCCTCATCATTTAAATTCTAAAATATTCCCAGGAACACAGGTGTCTCAGCTGAAAATGCTTGTCCTTATTGTTTTAATCTTTCAGAAACTAAGAGCACATTAGTTGTGCAAGTTGCCCCACTTAGTGCTCTGAATTCACTGCATCTGTAGCCATCTGCCGTACTCTACTGAGTAGATAAGGAACTTGATTTTATATCTTTGATTTAGTATAGGGTCACAGAATCAACAGTCAATTTGTATCTCATCAGTTAGATGTTACATGTAGCTAATTTATTCATGCAAACAAAGAAATTTAACTGGTATGAGCGAGTAACACTGGAGAAATTCAGGTAAAAGATGAACTTCTAAATGTAGGTATTGTTCTGTGTCACAACAACTTTAAAAAAAAAAAACTATCCCATTTTGGGAGTCAGTATATTAAAATTTTGACAAGCAAGCATGAATTGAATTTTATAGAGGGCTGAGTTTGGTTAACTCTACCTTCCTCAATGCACTTAGGGTGCATGTGTGTAATTTGGTTTTTTTTTCTTGTGTCCCGAGTGTTTTTTTTTTACTGGCCTTAAGAGAAGATCCGTCTTAGAATGTTTGACTTTGACCTGTTGCCCTGAAGTAGCTTCTGGGTGATTTCTGACTATAGGTCTGTTACAGAATCATTTAGGAGGAAGAGGACAGTAAAGTAAATCTGAATCAAAATATGAATCTTAAGGTAAATACAAATCACAGCACTATTGAGGACAGAAGGTAATACTGAATAAAGAAGTCTGGTAAAGTACAGATGTAAAAGTGTATAGGCCTTTTTTCTCAGTACGAAAGCTAAGGTACACTTAAGAAAGGTCCGACCAAACAATAACTGGCTGTGATGACCCCAGGAGCTGTCCTGAAGGTACCAGGCTTGTGTTCTATATATGATGTGTATTCCACTTAAATAACAATGTCTTGTCCTGTGTCTTTCTCTCAGAAAATTACTGCTGCTACTTACTGACATGTATGTTCCATCCCTTCTCTGTCCAATTGTAGATGTACTCCAACAGAGTTGCTTTAAGTGACGAGTTCATCGCACTGCAGCCATTGTCCAGGGCAAGGAATCAGCTGAGCAAAATTAGGTAGAGTAGGAGGGGCAGTTCCTCATCAACTCTTATGCATGCTGAAGATGAACTAACCAGTGCTGAGAGAGATGGGAAGAGGCATGAATATTAGTGGGTTGAGAGGGCAATACTTGTAGTGCAGATACATTCAGTTTGGTTATTTATTGGCTTTGCTCTGTGTTTTTGAGCCAAATGCTTCTCCTAAGTAGCATGTGTTGGACGTGCTTTTTTTAGGAAAAAACATCCCTAGCATGATGCTCAACTTTCAGAATACAGATGTAGCTCTTCTTGCATCCATTTTTAAATAATCACAGTTTCTAGCATGGTTATAATGCTTTTAATTTCTTTATAATTAAAATTAACAGTGCTTTTTGCATGTTGGATAGTGTCAGCTTCATAAGGCTGTGACAGGAAAGTCCATATATTTCAGGCAGCAATTTCTTGTGAGTTTTTTTTCCCATTTTAATTTGCTTTCACTTTTTTTGAAAGGGCAGAAAATGTTTTAAGTTTGGGTGCGTATATATACTTGTGTGGCTAAGGCTTTTTGTGTTTGTTTTGTGCATCTATAAAGTGAGTGTTGTTTGTTTTCAATGTGTATGGATACATATTCCTAAAGGCATTTGGCTACAAAGTCTGAGAAAATTTTTCAAAAAAAGATCAAAGAGTACATGTGTCTGTGTAGGTGAACTAGTATGATTTTGAAATTCTTCAAATGTATTGAGTTCAGTACATGAAATGCTATCAAATGCTGATTTTCATTTCTAAGACTAAAGCATTCATATGCATCAATAATGTCTCAACCTGTTTGATGTTTTATCCCACCCGTATCTACTTCTAAATTCTGTAGCAAGAATTAATGCAAAGAACTGATTCCTTTTAAACGTTTTTTAAGGTGACTGTGGTGTTTAGAAATACGCAAATAGGTGCTAGGAGAGCCAGCCAACCTATATTATTGGGACTTAGTTGCCATTTGTTTAACTGAGGGGAAGTGGGAGACAGGAAGCTGACACTGTAAACGATCAGCAGAGAATTTTTAGTGT